GGAGGAAGTGTCTGGAGGGGACAGATTGGTGGCGAGACAGGGAATGAGGCCCTTAGGTTGGACAGTAAGCCAGAGCTCTGGAGATGAGTGGGAATGCCCCAGCCAAGGGGAAGGCATCTGGTCCATCGGGGCCTCCCTGAGGAGAGGCCCAGATTCATCATTTCTGCCCAACTGTAAAATCCTCACTCTTTTCCTACAGCTGGCAACTTCCTCCAGGGAATTAACGGAAGGAACCAAAACTTGAAAGAATAGCTCCTTCTCCCCCTGCCTCCCCGTTGCAAAATCCATTGACGTCCACTAGGGAAATTTGGAAGCTAGAGAAAACTGTAAAGAAATTTAAAAGCGTACACAATCATACTCTCCAGACAACAACCACAGTTAATAGTTAATATTTTGATGTGTGCCATTTCAGGACTTTTTTTTTTTCCCCTTCATTTCCAAAAACAAAAAGCTGGTATCACAACAGACATGCTGTTTCTTGCTTGCTTGTGAACCGTCTCCTGTCTAGGTCAGTAAATAATTTTCTACGAGATTTTCAAACTGCCTGATAATTCCATTAAATACATCATCATTGATTTAGCTGGTTCCCTATTCCTGGTATTATGAACATTTCTATTTTTTACTTAAATTGGGCAGCGATGAATGTTTTTTGAACATCTCTAAGAGTTCCTCTGGAAAACTCTGTAGTTGGTGCAGCTGGACCACAGGGTCACCATTGGCAGGACAGCCAGAAAGGCCTCTTGAGAAATGTGTCCTCCACCTGCAGAGTGTGGGAGCCCCTGGGCTGACCTTTATCATGTGGTGATGTCTGTCCCGCTGAGCTAAGTGCTTCCCGCAGCGAGTCCTAACAAGCCCCGAGGCCTGGACTGTCCGGCCCTTGCCACTGTGAGCACACGCACCCCCGCAGCCCCCAGACTGCACTCTGGCTAGCCTGCCTGTTCAGCAGCCACCCCAGCTTGTGTCCCGTCATGCGACTGGACTTAGCAAGGTTGGCATCTGTTTCAGGGGGCACTGCTTGCCAGTCACTGTGTATGAACAATGGAAATGGCTTGGGCCCGGAGTTGGGGCTCTGGGCACACTGATCCTTTGAGTGGTAGGCAGACATCCATGTTCAGGTGCCGGTGGGCCGGCTGGAGACTGACACAGATGGTCTTGTGTCTCTTTTTCTAATTCTGTCTCCTCCTCCTTCCTGTGCAATCTGTCTCGCCCATTATCTCCATGCGAGTGATGAAAGGACCAGTGTCCCTGACCCCAGGCTGTTGGCTCTGGGCAGGTGCTGGCAGGGGTGGGGCCAGGTGAATGGCCATCTTGTGGGACTTTGAACTTCCCCTTATGGGCAATGCCAGGTGCTTGCTATGTGCCACAGGTGGTAGGAGTGGCTAAGAGGCCTCGGGAGGGCTTTACCCAGGCCACACTGTGTGGTGTCCCCGCCAGTCATTGTCTGGCTTCCATGTCCTCATCTATAAAATGGGCCACCATATACTGTGGGGCCCATGAAACAGATGTTGAGTAGCAAGCTGGAGGGATGAGGTCCTCAGGCGAAGGGCTTGGAGCCACTGGGCTTGGGGTGTGGCCAGGCTGGAGTGCTGGAGGGAGTTAGTTCCCCCTCTGGGATTCCTAAAGCAGCAGGTACAGGGGCTCACAGGATCCTAGGTGGAAGGAGCTGCCAGGCCCTGGGGGAGGCTGAGTGAAGGTGCTTCCCTCTCTCCCCCGTCTTCTTGCTACAGGTTGGCTTCCTGAAGATCCTGCACAGGTATGAGATTACCTTCACTCTGCCCTCAGTGCTCAGGCTGAGCAAGGATGTCCGAGAAGCTCCAGTCCCCAGCCTACACCTCAAGCTCCTCAGCGTCCTGCCCATCCCAGAAGGTGTGTCCCCTGCTCAGGGTGCTGGAGGCCTGCTGTCCTCCAGCAGGGCCTGGGTGGAAGTGGGGGTGAGTGCATGGGGTGCTTCCTCTCCCCCTTCCAGGGTGGATGGGCAATTCAGCAGTTGGGGGACATGAGGCCTCTTTACAGGCTTGGAGTGTCGCATCTTGGCAGGTCCCATACCCCAGGCCTTGCTCCTGGACAGAAGTCCGTGGGCTCGCACTACTGGCCTGTGCCTGTGCATCACGTGGTAGTTCCCTCAGTAAGGACGGGCTCTGGGCCTCCAGCTCTCCCTCCTGCCTGCCCCTCAAGAAAAATCTGCCAGAGCCCCAGGAATCCTGGGCAGCTACGTCCTAGCACCTGCCAGTCACAGGCTTTGGACTTGGGGCTGCTTCTCCCTCCCCTGCCCCCGCCAAGAGGCTAGGGTGTCAGTTTCATAGTATGCTGACACCCCAGCTTCAGTTTCACGTCCCCCGACTTCCTCTTCAAGACCTTGCCCCTGCGGGGATTTGGCGAGCTCCCTCAGGCCTTTACCTCTTGCCACCTGATCTGCTGAGGGCTTGCCCTGTCCCTCTTCCCCATCACCCCCTCTCCCTGTCTGCCTTTTTGGGGAATCAGCAGGCCCTCCTCCTGGAAACCTGAGTTTGACCCTTGGAGCCCTAATGGGGTTGTCCACAGGCTGGAGGCATGTAGAGCTCAGTGAAGAGTGGGAAGTTTCCAAGGCCTGTTTGCACAGCCCTGGGGATGGCGGGGGATAGGTCATGGGCTGTCCTCGCTCCTTGGGAGGGGGTGGCCAGTCTTGGTGGCGGGTGGGGGCCGGGGGGGGCGGGGGGGGGGGGGTGGGGGGGGGAGACCATGGAGGTGCTGATGACCTGGGCAGGTTACAGCGTCAAGTGTGAGTACTCGGCACACAAGGAGGGTGTCCTCAAGGAGGAGATGCTGCTAGCCTGTGAAGGAGGCACCGGCACCTGCGTGCGAGTGACAGTGCAGGCGCGCGTCATGGGTGAGCTTTCGAGCCTTGGGTCTGGCTACAGGAGGGGGGTGCCAGCTTGGCTGCAAGGGCTTTCCGCTCTCCCTGTCTGAAAAAGGTGTCCTTACCCTGGCCTAGGGTTCGCAGGTGCCTTTCTCCCGACTCTCCTAGCAGAGCCCACAGGGAAGCGTGGGGGGTCTCCTAAGAGTGGGTGGGGCCAGGGCCCAGCCCGGCATTCTGATCTGTCACCTGCCTTGCAGACCGACACCATGGCACACCCATGCTGCTTGATGGGGTCAAGTGCGTGGGTGCTGAGCTAGAATACGACTCCGAGCACAGCGACTGGCATGGCTTCGACTGAGGCCTGCGGCCCTGCGCGCCTTGGGGCCTCACAGCCTTAAACCCCACCTCATCTCCCCGAATGCTGTGTGATGTGGCTTCCTCGCCCCTCCCCAGGGTGGGGGCGGGGGTGGGGTGTCCAGGGGCCTCTCACCTCTGCCTTCATTGTGCCACCTCCCTGCCTCTCCTGTGTCCTCCTCTCCCACTTCCTCCTCCGTGTGCCTCAGTCTCCTGCTGGATGAATTGGGTTGAGCCCCCAGGGAGGCTATCTGAGGAGGGGAAGGGGGGGCCTGGGGTGGGTTCTGCCCTCCCCCCACCCCAAGCCATAGGGGCTGTAGCCAGGGCTTGGGAGAGGGGGGCGCTGGCTCTGTGACGCCGTTGTCACTCCCGTTATTGCTGCTGCCGTCTGGCTTTTGCCGTCCTGTGCCCCCTCCCTCTTTCCTACTGCTGGCCGAGCTCAGTCGGAGGGAGGCACAGCCCCCATGTCCTAACCCCCAGGCCTGTGTTACTTGGTTTTTAAAGGACTGATTGGGATAAAACCCTAAAGAAATAAAACTTTCAGTGGATACCGGAGGCTCGCCAGTGTTTGTTCTCCAGGGCTCTGAGAACACCCAGTCCTCCACAGATGGGCTAAAGAACAATTTTGGCTGTATTATTCTTTTAGGAGATGAGGGCACTCCATGGTATTCTAGCACCTAGCCCCAAAAGAAGTATGCAAGCTAGGTATTTTAAGCCTGGGTATAACTCACTAGACTTCAGATGGGGATGGGGTCTTCTCCCTAGGCCAGATAGAAGTCTTAGGGAGTAAGTTCTGTTTGGGATGTTTGCGACAGAGACAACAGCACCCCCTTCTGGTCAGTTCCCAGAGCTGCGCAGAGTGGAAAGCACTCTCCCCTTTTTGAACCCAGTCCCTCTCCACTACTCTGTTGAGGTCCCCTCTTGTGAGGTACCAACAGGCTATACCTTCACCTTAAGCATAAACGCTTTATTGTCACCTTAGGGTTCTTAGGCAGGTGGGGCAGATGCATGTCATGGGTGGGCAGGGAATGTCCCAATGGCACATTGAGTTGATTGCAGAGCCAGGATCAGCCCTTAATTCTCCTTCTGTCTCCCTGCAGCCCCCCAAACCCTACTGCCCTTTGATGGCTAGGACAGGGTGCAACTGGGTCATTCATGGGCTGCCCTTGGGGCCTTCTTAGAAGAATTAATCTGTCCTGAAGGTTCCCCCCAGCCAGCATCCCCCACATCCTCTCATAAGTGCCTTCATCCTGCATCCTCCTCTTTAGCCTGTTAATTGAGAAAGTTTAAAAATTAACAGTCACACTTGGATGGTCAGTACCACATCCAGAAAGGTCCTCTACCCCTGTGTTACTTGTGCTAGTCTCCAGCCATTTTTCTGCCCCATAGGGCTTCTCCGCCCAGCGCCCTGTGCTGGCTGAGCCTATCAGTCCATGCACTGGGCCCTTCAGGCCCAAGCCCTGCATATCCTCCGTCCTCCTGCTCCCCCTCCCGCAGCGGCCCTGCTCTGCCTCCCAGCTGCCTCCACCTCCCACCCCTTTACCCTCACCCCCCCCATCCCCAGTTCAGGCCAGGACTTGGTCTTCTGGTGCATTCTGCCTTCGGGGTCACCCCTTATGGGCGCACCATCTTACAAACCTCTTCTGACTCCTTTATCTCAGCCCTTGCTTGGCAGGGCTCTAAAGCCTTCCAGTCAGCCGCCCCGGGCCCAAATCCAAAGCGAGAGTCTGTCCCCACCCATCCTGCGACCTCAGCCCCCCGGCAGGAGGGCGGGGGGGGGGGGTGGGAGGGAAGAGGCGCTGACTTCAGAGCCAGCAGCTCTGTCCTCCGCAAGCCGACGCCCCAGACCCCCAATCGCAAGAGGGCGGGGCCTGGCACGGAGTCGGGCTGGCACCGTGTCCTCAGTTGGAAAGAAAGTCGATGGCGGCACGCACGGAGCGGTTGGTGCTGACGTCGACGGCGGTGACCTTGATCTCGGTGTCGCCAAACTGCATGGCGGCGCGGATCTCGCGGCGGCCGGAGGACGCGCCGTCGGCGGGCTCCAGCTCTAGGCTGAGCGCGCCGCACTTGCGCACGCCCGGGTCGGTGATGAAGCGCGCGTCCTCGGCGGTGCAGCAGTACAGGTTGATGAGCACGCGCCGCTGGCCCGGCCGCGCGGGACAGTAGCTGCGCCGCACCTCCTCGCCCAGGGCTACCGACTGCTCAGCGGCCACGAAGCGCTCGAAGACGTCGGTGCACCAGCGGCGGCCGTCGCGGACCAGCAGTTTTTCGGGCGGGTGGCGCCCGGCCACGAAGCGGTTGAGCACGCCCACGCCGTAGGTGAGCGGCGAGCGGCGCACGCGCACCACGCCCGGCGCCTGCCCGAACAGCACAGCGCCCTTGAGGATGGTGAGGCCCACGTCGTGCGGGACCACCACGCGCAGCCCGCGGGCGCCCAGTGCAGTCTGCACCGCGTGCTGCAGCACAGCCGACTCCGCGAAGCCGCCCACCAGGAACAGCAGCTTCACGCCCTGCACCTCCGGCCTCGCCAGCAGCGCCTCTGCGGGAGGGGGCAGGGTGGGGTGCAGAGAGGAGGGAACGCGGGGTGAGAGCGAGCCCCAGCCTCTGAGGCCGCTGCGGTGTGGCCACAGGCACCTCCCCTCCGCAATCCCGTACCCAGATGGCAACTAGACACTAGCTCCTACACCCTCAAACGGTAGCCGCGTTCTGGGGAACATGGAGTGTTTTCATTGAGTGCTTCTGGCAGTCGTCACGGGCTCTGCTTCTGTGGCACTCTGCCCCCTTTCCTCTCCCACCACGACGTGGAGGGCGACAAGGATGTGCATTTGCGCGTACTAAGTGCTCCTGCCGACTGTGCACGTCTCTAGATACTTGAGGTCATTTAAATCCCTGGGATGACACTGGTACTATTACCCCATTTTATAAACAAGGAAACCGAGGCACCTGACCTCGGTCAGAGAAGAGACTACACACATCATCCCGCCTAGTTCTTAATACCCACTACACTGTGTCCTCCAGGTGTTTCAGATGATTCTGGGTCTCATTTCAGTGTACGGGTGTGTGGAGGCTTCCAGGCATTATCAGGAGGTGGAATCATTCCTGCATCTGAGCGTGAATGTTGGGGTTAGTGGAGGACTCAGGCAGGCACTCACCTATATGCTGGATGATCCCACTGACCGTGGGCTGAAAGAGCTCGTTCATGGCCTCGCAAGACATCCTGAGCATCCCCTGTGAGGACCATTTCACGAAGTTCACGCTGTTGGTGAAGGGGGCACAGGCTTATCGGTGGGGGTCTGGGGTTCTACCCCTACTCCAGGCCAATGTGCCTGGGTGCTGACTGCATAGTGTGTGTCCTCCCAGCCTCACTCCCCAGGGGCTTTAGCTGCCTGCCTGGTCCAGTTCCAGGCATGAAGTCCCAGGAGAGGAGCCTCCCTTTGTCTCTGGGCAGAAGAACCAAGGCACACTGGCTGGCACCGTGTGTGTGTGTGTGTGTGTGTGTGTGTGTGTGTGTGTGTGTGTGTACGCGCGCACGCGCACCTGTGTCCACTGTGGTGCGGGGAGGAGAAAGATGTCAGCCCTTCCGCCAGGGCTCAAGATCCTGGTCCCAGTTCCTGCCATGGATTCTAGCTGGGATGTTCATGCCCCTCTCCTGCTGTCCGCTGGCAAGAAATGCGCGCGGGGCAGTGGCGGCAGACTCCCACTGTCCTCTGGGGCCCACGTCCTCCCTTGTGGGGGCCTATCCCACCGGCAAACCCTGCTTGAGTCTGTGGTCCCCAGACCCACCTGCTCCGGCGCAGGGCTGTCTCCACGTTGTGGCCTCGCTGTTTGCGGTAGAAGTCGATGAAGGAGAATGGCAGCGAGATGTTGAGCGCCCCTGCGCGGTGCGGGCCTGCAGTGCGTTTGCGGGCCTCGAAGGCGATGGTTAGATCCACCCAGGCTGCTGGCCGTTGCCTTTTGAAGGTGGTGATGAAGTCCTCACCGAAGATGCGGCCCAGCAGCTGCTCAAAGGCCAGATCCACGCCCACCGCGCCATAGGGACCGCCTGGGGTTGGCAGGGGTAAAGGGGGGGGGGGCATCAGCGCAGACTTCACCGCCCAGGGGGCACAGGCGGGCCTGGGCATGCTGGCTATGAAGGGTGCTGCTGGCTGGCTACTCACCAGATGCCTTGTAGAGCTCCTTGAGGGTGCCATGTGGCTGCTCCAGCTGGTGCACGGTCAGGTCCACTGTGCCTCCTCCGCAGTCTGCCACCACGTAGCGGTCTCCTGCGGCGCCGAGCGTGAGCACACACTCCTGGCCTGCTTTGCACCCTCAACTCTGCCTCTCTTCCAGATTCACCCAGCACCCAGCACCCAGCCCTGCCCCAGCCCGGAGCCTTGCCTTCAGGGAGGATGGGGGGGTGGCTCTAAGGGGCTTCAGGTGCTTGGACCTTAGACCAGGTAGGGGCACCAGGTTTTGGGGGAAAGTGTTTCCAGGACTCTGCGACCATCCGCGGAAAATCCCAAGGAGAAGTGGGAGTTAGGGGGGCAGCTGAGTGGGATGGGGTGCAGGTAACAGTGAGGAGATGGCCAGGTTAGATAGAGGCAGCTGATGGAGGAGGAGGGGTGGGATTTTTAGGGTCTGACACCCACTTGGCGAATGTTCCCTTGCCCCCATCAGTATATGTTCCCCGCAGGAACCAAGAAACGCCCCTCGGTCCCTCCTTCCCCACCTGCTTGCATCTCTGCCCACAGCTCTCCAATGCCAGACTCCACCAGGAAGGTGCGGCTGTGGCGGGAACGGCGCAGCTGCTCACGGGCTGGGGGTCAAGGTACAGCAGGACGGTGGGGTTAGAAGGAGGTGCCTCAGCTACCATGCTTGGCCCCGTCCTCTCACCAGCACCCTCCATGAGCATCTGGACCAGCCAATTCTGAAACTCCTGCTCTACTCCTAACTAGGAGAAGGCAATGCTGAACCTTGAAGGGTCCAGAAAAACCCTATGGGGTAAACTCAGGTGCTGTGACCAATAGCTGAGGGGAAGTATTTCTGGCTGGAGGACATTCCCTTAATGCAGGCTGGCTCACAGCAGTGCAAGATTGGGGTTAGGACAGTTTGGAGGACCTTGTGTGGCCAGGGGAGGAGGTCCTGAGGGGTCCAGGGGGGTCATGGGAGATGGCATCTGGGAGAGTGACTAAGATTGATCATAGCTATCTCAGTGCCCAGTGCGGGCACTGGAGCTTGAGCTTAGTAGCAAGAGCTCGGGGCTATTGTGGGGGGGAAGGGGGATGACAGCTGATGTACTAGGATGGGAGAGGTGACTGGTTCAGGGGCTGTTGAAACTCTTGAAGACCACCTTGGATCAGAGTGGGGGCTGGTTTTCTCCTTTGTTAGTACCTGAGCACCTCCCCTCAGGACAGGTGGTTTCCCCTACCTTCAGATTCAGGACTGGAACTGAGTCCTACCTTCCTCAGACAATGATCTCCTAGGGCAAGGTGAAATCTCTGTCCTCAGATTGGACTCCCCCAGATCAAGGCTGTGCCTCCTCCCTCAGACTGAATTCCACCAGAGATGTTTCTGTCCTCTCAGACTGGGCTGGAGAGGGTTGGGGCGGCGGGGGGCGGGGGGCGGGAAGGTTGTCTCTTCTTCATGTCGGACATGGCTGAGCCTCTGGCCTCAGTGTCCCTCTGACCCTCCCAGGGCAAATGTCCTACCATTGGTCAGTGCCCCTGGGGGCAGCTCACCCTGCCGGAAGCTGGAATCGATGGAGCGGCGCTCACCCAGGCGTCCACTGCCCGGAGCCCGGCTGCTTAGGTCCAAGAGCTGGTGTAGACGCAGCTTGCGGCAGTAGACAGAGGCAGCCTCTGGCTCCAGGGCGATGAGTAGTTGCTCTGCATCCTCCCTGGACACCAGGCCAGCCTGGGGATAGGTGGGGGGCAGGGCCAGGGAATATCGTGGGCCAGGTGTCACACCTAAGACGGCACCTCTGGGAGGGTAGCCAGAGCCTGTGGAGCTCCCAGTTCCTCCCCATCACACCCCACTCATGGTAGGCCTCTCAGGCCCCTCCATGGCACTCAAACTTGGAGCTGCCTCACAGCTACCCTGTGACCAGCGTAGGGAGGGGCACAGCCACAGCCGAGAATACCATGGCATTGCCTAGCAGGAAGATACCTTAGTGAAAACCTAGAGCACCTGGGATCTGCCTCTCCAAGCTGCCCAAGGTGGCCCAGGCTGCAGCAAGGTCCCCCTCACAGGTGCAGGATAGCCAGCTGAGCACTGGCTGAAGGTGTTAGCTCAGACCCCAGCACAGTGGGTATGGGGATATAACGGTCAGACGGTGTGTGTGGGGCGTGGTTCCCCTTTGGCTCACTGAACCATTTTCCTTCACCAGGCTGGTGCCAGACGGTAACCACAGGACTCCCCACTCCCGGGAGAACTCTGTTCCCCAAGAATCGATCTAGGCACCAGGAGACAATCAAACAGTGAAATTGCAGGCACCAGGACAGGCCAGCTGAGGGGAGAAAAACACTTGGGATTTGTTATTTCCTGTATCAGGACAGGGGATCCCTGTGGGAAGTACTTTAGGGTTTTGTGGGATTCCCTGGATTCTGATGAGGTGGGGGTTGGGGATGGGTGGGTGTAGAGACTTCCTGCTCAGGGTCAGCCCTTCCTGAACTGGCAGCCAGGGAACAGTGTGGGAGGAAGCAGGGTGGATAAACCGGCAGGGGGCACGAGGGTGGGGGGTGTTTATTCTGGCTGGGCACAGCCTTGCTTTCATCCTGGTCTCTGCAGGGGGGATGCCCACCGCCTCAGGGTTAGCTCCTTCCGGTGACAGACCTGGTGCCTGGGCATGCCTGGCCAACAGATGTGTGGGGGTTGAGGGTTCTGGTATTTTCCAGGGGGTGTACCAACAGGCCTTTTAGAGGTCCTAGGGCATCTTCCGGAGGGCCCAGGGGGAGGACCAAGCAATAAGTCTTGCTCTGGGAGGCTGTGCTCCCCTTCTTCCCCACCCCATCTCACTGGAGGTGGGGGGACTTGAATTGTGCACCACTTCCTATTCTCCAGACCTTTGGGCATCTTATGGTAGGAAGCCCAGCAAGCATTGGTCCAAATCACCTCCCTCCATAGCTGGCGGCTCCTGTGTCCCAGCTGCCCCCTTCTCTGGAGAACTGCCCTCAGCTGAATGGAAATCACGTCCCTTGGAGAACTTTCTCCCACACCCCAAGGAACCAATGACAGGCTGATAGGGATGCATGAAAAGCCAGCCACCTTGCCTCACCGTGGTCAGCTGCTGGGTACTTCCTCCAGTGCTCTCCATGGGATCAGGCTGAGGCTAGACTCCGGTTGAGACCACATTCCTGCTCAACTCTTTCTCCTGTCCATTTCCCTCACTCTTGCTCCTGAGAGCCCTTTTCCAATACACCCCATGCACAAGAATCCCTATCTTGGGCTCTGCTTCTAGGAAACCTGACTTAAGACACAGGTTAAGCTGGCCTGGGCTGTGCCTCTCGTCCCTCTGCTCTCTGTTCCTGCAGGCTCACACCCTCTCCTGGTAGCAACAACCCTCCAAAATGCCCAGCAGGGGAAGGCCAGAGGTCTTTGTGCAATGACTGGTCCAGGGTTGTGGGTAAAGGATGGTCTTGGGGGCCTCCCTGGAGCCCTCCCGAGTGACTGCCCCCTGCTCTGCCTGCCCATGCTCACCAGGTAGGCAGCCTCACGCATGAATTGCTTGGCGGGCTGTTTCCAGATGGCGGGGACTGTCAACACCCAACGCACAGTGTCCTTCTCTGGTAGCGATGGGCACTGCTCCCTCAGCTCCTGGAGTAGGAGGGGGCAGTGAGGGGTGGGCTGGCTTGGGTTAAGGGGGTGTCTTCAGCCTTCTTTGTATGGGATCTGGAGGAGCTAATCATGCCTCAGGAAGGACTTCCCAGCTGAACTGGAAGAATTCCTAATGCCCCCCTCCCCAACACCTGTACATCCCATGCAGTCTCCATCAGACGGGAAGGCAGGGGCTGGAGAAGATGGCTTCTGAGCCCTGATGGATAGGCTGAGAGGAGACGATGGACCTGGGGGTCCGTGCCCCAGTGGGGAGGGATGGGGTCACAGCGCACCTGAAGGGCATGCTCCTTGAAGAAGCGCAGGGCGTGGGCGAACACCTCCAGGGCAGGCATTTTCTTTCCATTCACAGCCTCTAGCTGGGTCTTCAGGGTGAGATCCTGGCAGGGACACAGGCAATTCGGCAGAAGGCCATAGCTCTGCCCCCACTTCCTGACCTCTCTCTCTGAAAATCACCCATTTCCTGCTGCTTCGCCTCTAGAGTGTCCCCGCTAATCACACATTAGTTCTATCCCCAGCCCCTCTCGTCAGCACCGCCTCTCCTCTAATCCTAGCCCCACCCCCAGCCCCGCCCCCACTGGCTCCCAAGCTCCGCCCCCTCATCCTCGCCTCTCCTTTTACCTTTGCTCCCCTTCCGTGAGCCCCTCCCTTTCTACACATGCTCCCGCCTCCCTGGCTGGGGCGGCCCCGAGCCAGGATGTGCCTTACCGTAGCGCTGTGGATCTTCATCTTGAACTTCTCGAAGTAGAGCCAGTCTCGTGCCTCCTCAGGGTCCAGATCGTGGTAGTAATCGCGGGCGGTGTAGCCAAAACTGTGAAAGGCGCCCTCCGGGGTCAAAAGCAGGCAGGTGGGGGTCTTCTGGTGGGCCACTCCTGGGTCCCCGCCCTCCCATTTTCTGTGGAGGCACAGGGCTGTCAGTGTGGTCAGCGAAACCCTCCCTTCGTGGGGTTGGGTACTGGCTTGGGGATCACCTATGCGACCTTGGGCAGGCCACCTAGCCTTCCTGAGGTTCAGTCTTCTTACACGTAATATGGAAATAATAATAGTACCTACCTCTTAGGGTTCTTGTGAAGATGGTGCTGGGCATCCAGTTAAATCTCCATAAATGGTGTTCATGGCATCCGCCCTATCCCTGGGGCCACAGCACCTATCAATATCCTCTGCTCCTGCTTCCTCCCATGAGGTACACCATTGGACTTCGCCTCCCCGTACTCTTAAGCAGAAGCAAGCCTGCCTAGGTCTGGCCTCCTCATGGACCCCTAGAGGACCCTAGCAGAGGCTTTCTCCCAGCCAGACTATTCGCCCTCCTCCAGGCTGTCTTCCACCACCAAGCTCCTTCAAGGCATTAATCATTCCTATCTGACCCACCTCGGCAGCTATACCCCAGCTGACTGTACCTCCAGCAGTACCCTAAAACCTGAAACAGATTCCAAACCTCCCCATCTGCAGGTGCCATCTGGATCTCCACCCAGAACTCCCTGTCTAGTTCATTGGCCTGGCAACTTCTTTCTCCCCTTCCTCAGAGGCCCTGACGCCTCTAGGCCAAGCTTATCCCTGCAGGCTTTAGGGGAAGGAACTGGGAATCCAGGCAGAAGGAACAGTATGTGCAAAAGTTTAGAGGTGTGAATGATCTGGGAGAACCAGCTATAGGTTCTATGCAGCCAAAGAAAATCCAGGAACGTTAAAGTCAGCTAAGGAAAAGTGTCAAATGCCATGTCTGAATTCTGTCTTGATGGGTCTTAAGTAGAAGAATGAAGAGTCAGAACCACATCTGCCATTAGAAAGGTCCCTGGTTGATCTTTGTGGTGGCCTCAGTGATGACCACTGTTCAGCTGCTGGTACATAGCTTTTTGTTCATGCCCAGGGCCTATACACCCTTGCGGAGACTGGCCAGGGCATGATAGCCCAGATCAATGCTCATGCAGACTTGTTGGAGAGCATCACTCCAAGGAGATCAAGTCCTGTTCCTAGCAGGCACAACTCAGAAGATGAAGCTTCCAGGGCCAGTATCGGGTGGAGGCTCTGACCACTCTGGAGTAGAAGTGATGGATGGAAGTAACGATCCATATGCTTGGAGGGAAAGTCCGTGGTTCCCTGGGCTGTGCTGGGAGAGTATGAGGGCAGACCCAAAGTGGCCAGACAGGAGAAAAAGAAGACAGGACAGGCCAAGCAGTGGGTGCAGAACTGGTGTTTTGTTAATGCTTTGCCCACCTTTGGCCAGAAGAAGGGCCCCAGTGCCAACTCTTAAATCCTTAATCCTGGCTTTCACTAATAAAGCCATTTAGCCAGTCAAAAAAAGAGAGAGAGAGAGAGGGAGAGAGAGAGAGAGAGAAAGAAGAAAGAGAAAGGAAGGTCATTAGTCTCCAGGTGGCAACAGCTTGGGGGGGAGGAAAAATGGAGAAGGAAAACCGGAGAGAAGGATATTTATTGCTCCTATCCAGGTGAGAGAGGGTGAGGCTGAACTTAGGGGTGGTGGCCATGGAAAGAAGTGACTGGGTGTTCCAGAGATATTAGGAAGATAGAGATTACAGGTCTCGGTGGCTGGTAGGGGTGGAGAGGGTATGGGAGGAAGCCAAGATGTCCTCCAGTTACTTCCAGTGACTGTCCCCTCCACAAGACAGAGGGACAGCGTCCTTCCTTGGTCCTCAGCCCCAGCATGGAATCCAGCATGGCCTCAGTCGCTTACACTGACGAGCCTGAGCCTGCCAGCTGGGATACCCTGCAGCTCCTAGAGGGCTGTAAGTGCCCGGAGCCTGTGTGGCCTTATGTGGAGGTGGATGGAGCAGAGAAAGGGGGAGGATGGTTCCTGTGCATACAACACAGGTCGGTTGTATCTGTGGGGAAGTGACCCTTACGTTTGTCTCTCCATCCACCCTGCCATCTACCCTCCCAGGTCCAGGGGAAGCCCCTTGGCTCCCCTATCCCAGTCTGGGTTAGAGCTTTGGGGTCTTCTAGAAGGCTCTTCCACTTATTGGCTGCAGCTACACTAAGACACATTCAAAGGATCAGGGTCTTGAGGCCTGGAGGGGAGTGTCAAAAAATGGACTATTCGGGGGCACCTGGGTGGGTTAAGCGTCTGCCTTTGGCTCAGGTCATGATCCCAAGGTCCTGGGATAGAGCCCCACATTGGACTCCCTGCTGGGGGGAAGCCTGTTTCTCCTTCTCCCACTCCCCCTGCTTGTGTTCCCTCTCTATGTCTCTTTCTCTCAAATAAATAAATAAAATCTTTTTAAAAATGTGTTGCTCAAATAAAGCTTGGCTACATTAGAATGGGTTCTTTGCACATCTCCTTCCCAACAACTGTGTGACCTGTTACCTCAGTGACCCCTCTGATCCTTCACGTCTTTGACCTCCACTGAGGGGCTCACCCTAGCAATCTGCCTGTCTCCCGCACACACATCCCAGCACAGGTGTTCAAGGAAGGCTAGTCATCACAGCACTTTTTGTAATAGTGAACGATTAGGGGGAAGAAGCCTCTTAAAACCATCAACAGAAAAATGGGCGAATTATGACACACCCGTACTGTGGGATACTAGGCAACTATTAAAAGAAATTGTGGCTGCAACAGAAGCTGATACAGAGAACAGGCGTGTCAACCAAGATGCATGCTCAGAGCCCAAGGGAGCTCGAGCCCAAGGTGGCTGCCTTCTTTGTGTTGTTTGCTTGGTGCCTTTTCTTTTTCCTTTTTAATGAAAAAATAATGCAGGTGGATTTGAAAGCAAAAGAAAGAAAGAAAGAAAGAAAGAAAGAAAGAAAGAAAGAAAGAAAGGAAGGAAGGAAGGAAGGAAGGAAGGAGGGAGGGAGGGAGGGAGGGAGGGAGGGAGGGAGGAAGGAAGGAAGGAAGAAAGAAAGAAAGAAAGAAAAAGAAAGAAAGGGAAAAAAAGAAAGGAAGGAAGGAAGGAAGGGAAAGGAAAGGAAAAGAAAAGAAAAAAGATGAAATTGTGGCTTTATGTGTTGACACAAAACATCTACAAAATAATGTTGGAAGTTTAAAGTAAGGCAAGTTGTAGGATATCCCACTTTTATTTATTTATTTAAGATTTTATTTATTTATTAGACACAGAGAGAGAGATCACAAGCAGGCAGAGAGGCAGGCAGAGAGAGAGGGGGAAGCAGGCCCTCCGCTGAGCAGAGAGCCCGATGTGGGGATCGATCCCAGGATCTGAGATCATGACCTGAGGCGAAGGCAGAGGCTTAACCCACTGAGCCACCTAGGCGCCCCTCCCACTTTTATTTAAAAAAGTACATGTATATGTATATATGCATGTGTACAAGGGATGGAGGGAGCTCTGGGCAGACTCCATGTGGTCCTCAGTGACAGTCCTTCTGAGACCAGGCCCAGCCCCGGGACTGAGGACCCCGGACCCCATCTCCCAGCCCAGCCACCCTCACCTCATCATGTGGATGGCTTCAGGATCACTGGCGAAGCTGAAAGCATAGCCACTGGAGGTGGTGCCAAAGTCGATGGCCACCACCACGGAGAAGGGAGCGTGCTGGGGGGCCCGGGTCTCGGGCTTCTGTGAGGGCGAGACCCAGAATTAGGCAGCAGCCAAGGGCTGCGTGCCCGAGCCCCTCCTCTTCTCTGGCTGTGTTCCCAATGGGCGCTGCCTCCAGTTACCTGCCCAGGCTCCCCTCCCTTCCCCTCCCCAGGCTCCAGGCTAAGCCCTGAAGCTGCCAACTATGCAGAATCCCAAGGCCTCTCAGGTCGCCCTCTGCAGCTCCTGCTTTCCTCTTTGGGTTCCCGCCTGGCCGGCCTGACCCCACCCCCAGCTCACATCTTCTCAGGGCAGCTCCAGTAACACATGGACCTGTGTATATTTGACCCCCCAGATGTCTGTGGCCACAGTGAGACAACCAGACTCTGTCAGTTTTATGGCAGAGGAGAAAGGACAGTGCACAGGCCCACTGCGGTTCCTTCCCTCTCCCAGGCCAGGCCTGGGCTCCTGAGAACAAGGGAATCCCCAGGCTGGATCATTAGGCGGAGGCCATCCTGGGTGGGGTGACCCAGGGAGTTCGAGGGAGGGTTACATCCTGGATACTTCAAGCTAGTAGTTTCCAAACTAATTTTTAGCAATGTGTCTTGTCTCTCCCAGATATAACTTGTATTCAGGGAGGGCTGTGGTCGACAGGAGGGGGAGCAACTCTGGGAGGCCGAGTGCTCTAAGGACCTGAAGTCACTAGAGGCTCAGAAGTCCCCCAGCCCTAGGCAGGCTCTGGTCCACGGATGGCATCCTGGAGCGGGGCTGTTTGGGTGGTAGTTACGTGGGGCTCACCGGAGTAGAACTGTTACCCCTACAGTCCTAGGTCACCGGAGGCTAACTCTTCTGGGGGGGGACATGAATGGAGTGTGCAGGGGTAAGAGGCATGGTGCCACCCCCAGCCCAGCCCGGGCCCTGCCAGGCCTCTGTCAAACACCAGGCCTTGTTCTCTGGAGCACGACCCATCTCCATAGCACCCAGGCCACCCACCACCGGGAGCCCTGCTCCCAAGCTTACTGGAGACTGCGAGGGTGTGAGTGGGGCAATGCCACAGCTTTCCTGGGTCCTTGGGGAGCCGGGCGGGCTAGGCACGGGGGACCGCTCAGGGCTGGAGCCTGCAAAGAGAGGGCAAGTCACTCTAGCACAATCAGGGTCGGGGCGGGTGGCCAGGCCCTGGGAGGTTCTCCATCAGTCCTTGCTGGACTGAGGCAAGGGACACCCTGCAGGGGAAGGGGGACTAGTGGGGGAGGGGAGGAAGGACAAGACTGAGGCAGGGGCAGACTAAGGGTCTGTTATCCATCTGAGGTGACCTTCCCCTACAGGGTAACCCATACCTCACCTGGTGTCTTCCCCAGCATCCCTCAGACACAGCAGGGGAGGGAAGAGACAGAGAAGCACTATGGGGGATGGGGGCGGGGCGACCTAAGTCCAGAGACAGAAGGGCAGGAGAGATGGGGTGGGTGGAATCCTGGGGTGGAGGGTAGACAAACCAGAAAAGGTGGGGAACTGCAGATGGAACTGAGGCCGAGGTGGGGCTGCTCCGCTCCCCAGTAGAGTTTGGCAAAATGGTTCTAATCAGGACCCTAGGGAGTCTGCCTCCTTCCCATCCTCCCTCCCTCCCTCCACTAAGGGCCAAGCATAGGTCCAGCTGGCTGCTTGGTGAGGATCGAGAAGGGGAACAGTACTTCCCGTGGCCCAGCCCTGAGCTGGGGGGTGTCCACAACACTAGGAAGTTGGATTCTGAGCCTCCCTTCCCCGTGACACACAGGAACCTGGAGCCGGCATTTGGGGGCAGGAGGCCACAATGAAACCCTCTCGCAGGCTCAGGACCGAGCTGGATCTTTGCTGGGAGGGAGCAGAGCACCTCCAGAAGGCAGCCCAGAGCATGGCTTGGAGGATCAGGCAGCTTAAGGGCCTGCCTGGCTGGTCATCCCCTAGGTGTGGGCTGGTGGCTCCTCACCACCACACTGGGCCCTGAGAAGGCCCCTGCCCGGGGTACTGGGGCGTCCTGAGATTCAGGTGTAGGGACAGGAAGGCTGGCCTGGGAGGCTGACAGGGTCTGGTGTGAAGACCGGTGGACATGTTGAACTGGTCTGGCGGGCTTCAGGCTGAGCCAGGCCCGGGGCCTGTGTTCCTTCAGCAGCTGTCCTGCCTTGTGCCCTACTAAGTCCCCACTCTCCCTGGCGTTGGGGTACCCCAGGAACATATGTGAGGCATGAGGGGACTCGAAGAAGTGCCTGGCCAGGGCCAGAGTCTGTCTTGAGGTGCCGGAGGGTTCTCCCAGGGCTGCTTTTTTCTAGGTGGCAGGTCCAGGCTTGGGCCCTGCCAGCAGCCCCAGCTTGAGAGGCCGAGCTGCTATGGCTTGAGCCTGGGAAGGGAGGCAGGAAGGAAGGCCCAGCCCGCCAGGGCTTTGTTAATGGACTTCCTGAGGAGTGTCCCTCCTGCCTCCTGGCCTCCCACCCCTGCAGAGAATGTACAGCCTGCTCCCAGGCCAGGCCGCAGGCCACTGCAGGCATATACACGCAGAATTCCAGGCGTGCAAAGCCACCTGCCAATACACACGCTCTCACACGAGGCCCTGCACACAAAGACCTGCCCGCAGGAAGACACAGACACAGACACACACACTCATACCAGGTCCCAGGTACACAGATCCCGCTCAAGACACCCACACTCATATAGTCCTGGGCACACCCCCCCCCACCGTGCACACACACACTCAAAGACCCACACTCACGTACACAGCCCTGTGTGCACCAACCCTCCCTGCACACACACACTTGCTCAGCAATCTCTTCTGGGAGAGGCACCCATGGGCAGACCGGGGGTGGGTCTCAGTGCCAGGGTGAGTGGGGTGGTGGGTCAGGGCCAGGGTTGGGCTGGGGGGAGGGGAGACTTACCAATGTACAGCCCCTGCAGACCCATGTCTGGGACCGCCAGCATCTTTGCAGACCCTGGGACTGTGAGCAGGGACAGACAAGCAGAATGGCATTTATTTGTTCCCTTGTTTCCTCCCTCAATGCTTATTTATTTTCTTTGCTTGCTTTTGGCGGAAGTTCTTTGAAGCCAGTCCCAGGCATAGTGTTGTTTCACCTATAAATTCTTTAATACGTCTCTCCAGCAGATAAAGACTTTAAAAACAGGGCCACCGTGCCGACCTCACATTTAAAAGTATGAACAGTAATTTCTCAGGCTCATCTAACGTTCAGTCCCACAGTCCCCACTTGTCTCAAAAAACCTCTCAACAGCAGCTTTGTTGGAATCAGGTTGTTCCTGCATGTTTTCAAGTGCCCACTCTGTGCGAGGTGCTGGCGGACATCTGCAACCCAGAGAGACATTGCTGCTGCCCCAGAGGCCCACAGCCTGGTGGGGAGACTGATAAGGGTCAGAGAATCACCCAAGTGCATTTGAGGTTACAAATGATGCTGTCAAGGTCACAGCTGGATACAAACCAGGCAGAAAGGCTTGGTAAGGCTGGAGAGAGAGGCTGGGCTGGGCTGGGCTGGGCTGATCCTGTAGGCAGGCCCCTTGGGGCCCCTATTTCATTTATTTATTTACTTTTACTTTTGAAGATTTTATTTATTTATTTGAGGAAAAAGAGAGAGAGAGAGCACGTGTGAGCAGGGGGAAGGGGCAGAGGGAGAGGGAGAGGGAGAAGCAGACGCCCCTGCCGAGCAGGGAGCCCAAGGAGCTGAGCTCCATCCCAGGACCCTGAGGTCATGACCTGAGCCAAAGGCAGACAGACAGCTGAGCCATCCAGGCAGTTCTTGGGCTCCCTATTTTAGATCTGGTTTTATATGAAGAGCAAGAGCAAATCTGGAAAGGTCTGATGTAGTAGAGTAGAGATGGGGGTGTGACCTGCGTTTTACAAAGCCCCCCAGGCTGTAGGGAGGGTGCAGATCGCAGCAGGTGGCCGGGAAGCAGAAGCCCCATCAGGGCTCCAGGCAACAGAGGATGGTGGTGGCTGTGTGTCTTGAGACAGAGGTGGAGTTCTGAAGATAGAGGTTAAAAGTTAGAGGTTAAGGTTAAGTTAGAGGTTAAAATCAACAGGGCTGGGCACCTGGGTGGCTCAGTGGGTTAAGCTTCTGCCTTTGTTCGGGTTGTGATCTCAGGGTCCTGGGATCGAGCTTGGCATCAGGCTCTTTGCTCGGCAGGGCGCCTGCTTCCCCTCCTCTATCTCTGCTTGCCTCTCTGCCTACTTGTGATCTCTCTCTCTCTGTGTCAAATAAATAAATAAAAATCTAAAAAAACAAAAAACCCAACAGGGCTGACAGAAGATGGCCAAACTGGATAGGGGGGCTTTGCAAAGAAGCAGGTGTCAAGGGTGACGTTGTCTGACTGGAGCTCGGAGGTGGACAGTGAGGTGGAGAATACTGGTGAAGGTGGGGCTGGCAGGGGCCAGGGGCAGAGTTCTGGGTGCACTTTTGCAACCGTGGAGAGAATAGCCCAAGGGGCCGGCTGGTGTATGATGCAGAGCTCAGAGAAAGCTGAGATGGAGAGGCGCCTTTGGGAGTCTTGGTTCCTGGGGAGGGGGCCTGATGGGGAGTCGTGCGGGAAGAGAAGGAAGCACCAGCACAGAAGGCTGGCTGGGGGAAGGCCGGCTGCCCGAGGAGTCCAGATGCCTGCTATGGTTTCAGGAAGATCTCAGATCTAAGAGATGCGCATGAAATTAGATACCTTTAGAGGTTATTTGATGAGTCTCGAAACACCTGTTTTAATGGCCCAGGGCCAGCATTTTGGCAGAACGATGGAAATGGGGTACAAGTCAAGGGAGCCTAGGCAAGAAGTGAGCAGAGTTAAGGAGGACACAGCGGGCACTTACAAGAAACTTGGCTGAGATCAGGAGCTGGTGGGAGGGCAGTAGATAGAGGAACAGAAAGCTCGAAGAGGGGGGGATGGGTTTTCATTTTCCTTTCTAAGATGGGAGGAACCTGAGTTTGTGTCTCTGAAGTTCTAGGGGCTGGGCTAGAGGCAGCAGCATTGCAGCCCCTGTACTGCAATCAGAAATGCAGAACCTCAGGTCCTGCCCAAGAACTACTGAGTCAGAACTTGCATATTAACAAGATCCTCCGTAGTTCTGGGCACATTCGAGTTCTAGAGGTGCTCCTTGACGTGTCCCTGGGCCAGTCATCACCCATGCCACTATCCTCACCTGTGGGCCTGGCAGTCCGCCCAAATTAAGGTGAGGCTGCTCAGAGCCCACTCCCTCTCTGTAGTCAGTGGACTGATCAGGAGATTCGCTAACAGAACACAGGCAGACACAGATCTGGACGCCATGACATGTAAGCACACGCATGAACATGCATGTGCATGCTCTTGCTCACACACAGTTGACACAGCCCAGCCCCAGGGCAGACGGACACTCAGGCATGTCCAGAATATTCCCCCATGGCCAGCACCATAGAAATTTCCAGACACCTACAATCGTGCTGCCACACTGTTGTGGCACACGTTGGAGGCCCAGGAATGAGAATCACAGGGAAGATAGGGGCTGTTTGTGGGCACTCAGAGTAGCAGGGTGGTGCTCAGAAAAGGGAGAGCAAATAGTGGGCATGGGTATGAGCCTTGAGAGCCAGACACAGGCTCAGCTCAGGGGAAGGGAGTGGTGTGCAGGAGGTGGTTCTCCCCAGCCCCAGCAGCTGATTCTGCGTGTCTTCCCAACTCTGCACTGATTGACAGTACCTGGGAAACTTGAAACCAGCCATGATGGAAGCATTTACACCACCGAAACTGGCAAACACTATATATCAGGTTTTGGTTTCTCTGAGAGAGTTGACAGTGAAACATTCACCAGCGCACGTGTGGCTGGATCAAGGCCACAAGGGAGAAGCCCTATGTATGCTTGTCTCGATTCTTCAGCAAACACTGAGCATTTCTTTCTTTGTGTCAAGCTCTGTGCTAAGTGATGTATGTGGACACAGAGTGCCCCTCCTCGGGGGTCTCAGGGCAGACAAGGGCCTATTACGGCATCTGGTCAGAATACATCATGTCACCTCTCTGTGCTCCAGTGTCTATCCTATAAAATGGGTCACACAAGGGCTTGTTAAGACTGACAAGTTCAGGGGGCACCTGAGTAGCTCCGTCGGTTAAGTGTCTGCTTTCAGTGCAGGTCATGATTCCGGGGTCATGGGATTGAGCCCCACATCTGGCTCCCTGCTCAGTGGAGACCCTGCTTCTCTCTCTCCCTCTGCTGCTCTCCTGCTTATGCACGCCCTCTCTCTGTCAATCAATTAATAAAATCTTAAAAAAAAAAAAAAAAGACAAGTCCAGGTAAGGAAGGTGGTTGATAAAGGCAAGACTTGGACAGATGAGAGCAGTTGTTCTTTTCCTTCATAGTATGGATTCTGACTTTTCTCTTGTTATAAGTTTTTGGTCTTTAAAAAAAAAAAAGATTTTATTTATTTATTTGAGAGAGAAAGATAATGAGAGAGAGCATGGTGGGATGGGGGCGGGTGACAGGGAGACAGAGAAGCAGTATTAGCAGGCTCGTGGAGCAGGGAACCTGACACAGGGCTTAATCCCAGCACCCTGGGAATCATGATCCGAGCCGAAGGCAGACACTTAACAGTTACCTGACAAAGCCACCCAGGTGCCCCAGAAATTTTGGTCTTATTGAGACTTATTCTAATCATTCTGAGTTCTTTAGCGAGGGAGAGAGGACTTGAATCCATCTGTGTTGGAGGAGGATCCTGATGATTCTTTTTTATTTATTTATTTTTAGTTTTCATAAACATATAATATATTTCTATCCCCAGGGGTACAGGTCTGTGAATCGCCAGGTTTACACACTTCACAGCACTCACCAAAGCACATACCTTCCCCAATGTCCATAACCCCACCCCCCTTCTCCCAATCCCCCTCCCCCCCCGATCCTGATGATTCTTTGAGAGGTGGGGGTAGAAGGGGGTGGCAACCTTATGTGTCTTTGGGACACCTCCCTACCATGCATACACACCCAGAAACATTTAAGGACAGTGCTAATCATGAGGCACTCTGAGTGGGACTCGGAGAGGCACTCTAATCATGAGTGCTAATCAGGACAACACTCGTTCCCCAAAGCTAGGACTGGGCAGTAGCCACAGCTGGAGATGGGGCAAAGTAGACCCCCACCCCAGGGGCCCACTAATTTCAGACTGGTGATGCTTAATGGGTTTGAGTATAACTGGGTAGGGCAGTTTGATTTACACAGAAAGTAACTTCATTTCCTGGCAACAAGCACAGGCTAAACTCTGGCCCTAGCCTGACCCCTACCCTGCTCACAGACAGCCCCTTCACCCTCCTATGGACTGACCCCTAGCCCTTGGCTTCATATTGCTCTCTCATCTCCAGCTTCATACTGACCCCTGGCCCTGACTTCTACCCAATAGGTATGACCTATCATTCACCCGGGGCCAGGACAGGGTGTGGCTCAGTCCAAGAACTTGGAAACCGAGACTCCCATTCCAGAATGCTTCCCAGACTCACAAAAGCCAAGGACTTTGGGCCTGATGGAGAATATTCTCCAGGAATCTCTTCCTGGAGAGGGGAAATTAAGGCTGGATACTTATGCCCCCAAAGAGCACTGAGGGTAAGTGGTGTTGCTGGATTTCAGCGCTCCACACATACCTGTCCTCTGCCCATGAGGACAAAGAGCCCACCCAGATCTTTACAGTATCCCTCTCTCCCCTGCACACTTCCCTTCACTGGACCCTGCCTCTCCCATCCACTGTTTTCTGCTCAATATCCTGCCAGCTCTTTAACGGAACAGGACCCTGTCAGCCCACAGAGAGGCCACAGGCATTTCTCCCAAGCCACAGACTAGACCAACCAGGGCCAAGGATGGACAAATGAGAAATGGCACCCAAAGGGCTGTCCTAGTCTGTCTATGGAAAGGAACCCTCAAGGAAAGGGACCATGAGGAGGCTGTGGGGTAGGGGGGCTGCCTCCTGGGCTGGGGCAGGGGGAGGCATAAATGGCTTCCCACGGGGCCCCTCCCTGTCCTCAGCTTTTTTCCTCCATACATCCTGCCCCACCCCCGTTGGGTCCTCATCACGGCAGCAGTCAGTTCACAAACCAGTTCACAAACAACCTCTGTCCGGCAGAGCCCACTGAAGCCCCTCCCATCCTCTGCCCACCAGTACCCCCTCACCTCCCTTACCTTATGGGGCTCCAGGGCTGCACTTGGTCTCACAGGGAGACCATATTTTAGAGCTCACCCCCTCCCAGTCTCTCTGCCCCACAGGAGCCTGCTTTACAAACTGGGTCCACTGCCCAGACATGGAGCCCAGACGCCTGGCCACCTGGGCCCCCCAGCCGGCCTAACAGAAAGAAACCAGAGGTCCCTGTGCGGGAGGCCTGCCCACAGTCAGGAACTGCAGCATCCTGGCCACTGTGCCACTCTCGAGCTTCCCAGACCATAGGCCCTAGGAACCCCCTCCCTCGACCAGGTGACCCCCACCCCCACACTCAACCCCAGGTCTGGCGTAGGCATTGTATCCTCCACAAACTGGCTTACTGGAGCAGACCTCCCAGCTCCCAAACCCCACCCCTACCGCGGCACAGGGGTCTACTCAGCCCCCCAACCTCCGCAGAGCCGGTGTGGGGTCCCGACGCCAGGGTGGGAGCCCACGGTCGCCGCTCCAACGGCTATTCTGAACCCGCAGCCCCACTGGAGAGAACGGCTTGAAGGATCTGTCCCCAGCCCGGCTGCCCCGGGTTAGGAAGTCTTTCGGGGGACGGGGGGGGGCCCTCAGCCGACAGGCTGGGACCCCCAGGACGGCACACACCTAGACGCCGTTCTCCTCTGGGAGCCCCCCCTCCCCCGCTCAGAACTCACCTCCGCCCTCCCGACAGCTCGACCTCCGTCCAGCCGCCTCGATCCCAGGCCCGCAGCCCGTGGTTGTGCCCCGCCGCGGCGGCCGCTGCCCTCGACGTGCGCCCAGCCGGCGCCTCCCGCTCGCCCCGCGCCGCCCACCCCGGCCGCCGCCCCCTCCCCCAGGCCGGATGGCGGTGCGCTCCCGGCCCAGATGTGCGAGGCCGGGGCGGGGCCTGCCTGCGCTGGCCTCTCCGAGGGGCCCACCCCGGCCCCGCGTCCCCGCCCCTCCCTGCGCCCCTCCAGCGCCCCGCCGCCGCTGCGCCTCCCCACTCCGCCCAGCCCGCAGCCCCGGGGGTGGGAGGGAAGGGTGAGGAGGGGAGGTGGAGGGAGGGAAGAGGAATTCCAGACCCCTCGTCGGCCTCCTGCGGCCGGCAGGCGGCGGAGGGGCTCCCCCTCCCCTCCCCAAAGGGCCCACCTCGGGGCTCAGCTCAGGCCAGCGCAACTCGCGACTCCCGAGCCTAGCCGCTGGTGAGGGAGGGCCCTGGCCCAGACCCCTCCCGTCCCCTGGCCCAGACTCCTTTCAGTCCCCAGCCCATCCTACTCTCCTCCCCCCCCCTCCCCCCCCCCCCCCCCCCCCAGCCCTAGCCAGGTCTCCAAGGGTCAGACAGAAAAGGCGGAATCGAAGGTGAGGTCAGCCCCTTGGGCCCCAGGTTGGGGCCTAGCTCTGTCCTTGATGAAGCTTGGGGCATTGAGGAAGGGTTCTCGAAGGCTGGGGCCCCATTTCTGGCAGGGGGCTCACTGGGAACTCACCCAGCCTCCTCAAAGAGCACCCAACCCCTTTCCTTAGAACGCTCATAGCCTTCCAGTCCTAACCAGGCCCGGGGGGGGGGGGGGGGGGGGGGGGAGATGCTCGGACATGGCTCCAAACAGGGGTTTGCCAGATGGAGACCCCTCTCAGCTAGGCCCCTCTAAGGCAGCTAACTTACCTTGCCCTCCATCACCTCTTGGTTCTGGAGGGCCTAGGCCCGGCCCACTGCCCATCTAAAAGCTCGTCAGCTAAAGTGTCACATCTCCTGGGCTTGTTGCCCTTCTTATCCAGGTCACTGCCCTGGAGCACCCCTGCAGCAAGGCTGGGGTTGGGATGTGCTGCACCAGAGGGCTTGGGACGTCAGTAGCTAGTCAGTAAGCCAGCAAAGCATCCAATCAGCAGCCTCCACTGGCTGCTCCGGGGAGTGTGTGCGTCTGCGAGAGTGACTGCGGCTCTGGATGCCAGTGACTCCATGTTCATGTGTTAAGTGCGTCTCTTGGGATGTCTGTGTGACTGTGTCTTTGTGTCTGCGTATATGATAGATGTGTGTCTTTGTGCATGTGTTTGAACTTGTCTGGGTGTGTGACAGGTGTGTGATGGGGGCTGTCAGCCCTTCATGTCATTTCAGAGGCTGAGAGAAGCCTGGGACGGCAGAAATGGCTGCAGGGGAGTATATGGGGACAAGGCAAAGGGTCTGGCCCCTCCAATGCAGCCTGTCTCTCCTTTTCCTTTGCCCTTCCACTGTGCTTTCATTCCCTCCCCACCTGGAGCTCTACCTATTGGCTCATCTCTGAGGGCTTCGCTCTGAGCAGGAGTAAGAAGACTCATGGTAAGAGGTTCTCAGCCCGCAGCATCCTCCCACTTGGCAGCCTTCCGTCCCCACCCCTACCCCCCTTTTCAGGCCCTCTCAGTGTGACTTGGGACTCACAGGCCCCACCCTTGGGCAGCTTCCCGTCTAACAGAAGAGAAGGATGGCAAATAATCCCAGTGAATCCTCAAATTCGAGAATGTTTGACTCAGTTGCCAGCAGGTTTGGGCCCTGGAGGTCATGCACAAGGATCCTGCAGAGCCCCTGCCTTTACCACCCTCTCTCTGTGCACTTGCAACACCCTCCTCTCCCCTCCCAGGGCCACTTTGGGCCCACCCACTGACCTTACCGGCTTTCTGCTTCTCCCGGGGTGGGGAAGCTGGAGGAAGGTTTAGCCTCTGAGAGTATCCTCCCAGGAGCAGCCTGTCTCCAGGCCAGGTTTTCCCACTCTGACCTTGGCTCATCCACTCTCTCGAGGACGCCCAGCCCTTCCAGCCCATTTCTATGGTGCAAGTGAAGGTGATTCTCCAAAGTGCAGGCCTGGCCCCATCCCTTCATCACTTATATTCTCCGTGGCTCCCTATTACCTACAGGAGAAGATCCAAGTGATCCAAGGTGTGGACTGCCCTTGGTCGACCTCTCAAGCTCTCCTTCCCAGACCTAACCTCCAGCCTCATCTCCAGCCCTTTGAACACAAGCTCCAGAGCTCTGTTCCCCCTGGACCAGGCCCCTAGCCCTGACCTGCTCAGCAACATTCTCCTTTCCCTTGAGCCCTCGGGAAGAAACTGGCCCCTTGGACCCTGCTGTGGGTGCTGTGTCAGTTGGGAGAGGCCCCAGCCCTGGTGATCACTAGGGGTCTCTCAGGAAAATGCAGGATTGAGAAGGCAGAAGCAGGGCTCTCCTTTCCCAGTGCCCACAGCCTGGCCCAATGTGGCAGACCAGCAGGAAGTTTTAGCCCAGGGCGTCTCAGTCTCCCCTCCCTCCTGCCCAGGCCTGGCTGCTTGCTCTGCCCCAGCTCACACCGCCCCCCCGCCCCCCACCATGCACAAATACACACCAGCGGGGAAGGCCGGTGCCGGAAGACTTATTCACCAGTAGACTTTGTTGATTGAACCCCACAGTGTGCTGGTGCCTAGCTGGCTAGCTTACCCTGCCACCAAACACTTGGCGACAGGGCCCTCCAACCTCATTGTACAGAAGAGAAACTGAGGTTTGTGGGAGAACTGGGCACTGCCCCATTCGGACCCAGCAATGGCCTCAGGATCTATGTCCTTTGCCGTGTCCCATGCTGCAGGAGGCTGGCAGGGGAGGATGGTACCTAGGCACCCAGAGGTGGCTCCCTGATGGTTGTCCGGCCCTGCCTGCCCCTTCCTGGGCACAGGAGGGCTCCTGGGACAGAGGCCTCTTGAGTGTTCCTCTACCAGATTCCTGAGGTGCGAGCTTCCTTCCAGGAATTACTCCGCCTGCCCCCACCCAGCTGCACTTCCTCTCTGTGGCCCACAGCCACATCACTTTCCTTATCCGAGATGGGAGTGTGGGAGGCCCGGCCTGTGGCCAGCCTTGGTAGCGCCCTACCTCCACTGTCATATGGGCAGCTGGCGCCTCTTTTTTCATAAAAAAGAAAGCCCTGAGGTCGCACCTTCCTGCTGAGCCTCTCCAGCATCCTGCCCCCAAAGGACACCCAAAGGACCAGAATCGGCCCCTCTTCTGGAACTCTGCACCAACACTGTCCCACTTGCAGCCCCTTCTCCATTTTGATGTTATTAGGGTTCCCAGCAGGAACATCAGGAAGACTTCTTAGAGGAGGTGACCTCTGATGTGAGCCCTGAAGGATGACTGAGAGTTATCCATGAGGAGAAGTGGGAAGGACATTGCAGGAGGAGGAAATGGTGCAACTAAAGGCAAAGAGGGCAGGGTTTTGTGAGGGAACAGAAAAGGACCAAGACTCGAAGGGAACAGGACATGCTGGGGAGAAGATAATACCTCCATGTCAGCCATGTTAAGCTGGAGGAGACTGTGAAGCTGCCCCCTCCCCGGATATCTATTTTCTTGTTCTTAACTATACAATCTTCTCTTTTTAGCCATGCACATGGCCACTCAGCCTAAAGAAGAGATATCCCAGCCTTCCTTGGGGATAGCCACATGACTAAGTTCTGGATCATGAGATAGAAGCAGAAGCGATATATGGTGTCTTCCAGGCTTTAAATGCTGGTGGGTGCCTGTTGTTCCTTGTTCTGCTTTTCTCCATCCCACTCCCTGGAATGTTGATGGGATGGCTGGAGTGCAAACCACCATTTTGGAACATAAGATTCCGGGGTAACGGAATAGTGCCCTGCAGAGAGACTGGCACTTGAGCGGTATTCCCATGACAGCCTCGGGCTGTGCATATCCAGATGTTTAACACGGAAGAAAGAAACCCTTTTGTGGAGGACGCTGTGTTTTCAGGCTCTGTTACTCACAGCAGGATGTAATACTATCCGATTCGTCCCCAAAGAGAAATGTTGACTGGGCAGTTGGTTTATGGATCTGGAGCTCAGAGCCGAGTTTTGGGTTGCGGGTAGAAATTTGGCAGTCGCCCTCATGGAGATGGTAATTGAAGCCACGAGAGTGGATGAGATCACCCAGGCAGTGTATGCAGTGTGAAAGAGAAGAGTAGAAGGCTTCCCGGGAGGCAGCCCACCCCACCCTTTTGCCCACAAAAGATGACCCTCTCTTTGCGTCTCAGTGTCACCCCCTTCCCAACATCACATTAGGAAGGTTATGCCTCCCAGAACACTTTTTGTTTTTTTTTTTTGTGATGCAGAGTCAGGATGGAAGAGGGCTAGCGGAAAGATGTGTATGGATGGGGTTGGGAGAAATTTTAGTTTTTCAAGTTTTTGCCAGTGTGTGGCAAAGTGGGTGGAAGAAGAAAGTGTTTTATAATGTGTTGTTATAATCTAAGTATCCCTTTCATGGTATTCAAGAAACCACACAGAACTTGAAATTTGTTGAAATGATTTTTTGGTTGCCAGACTGGACCTCTTCTGTCATAACATCACCCAGAGACTGGTCCATTTGGATAATGGCTTTAGAAGGGTTACACGAGTATTGAAAGCCATTAGAGCAGTGTAGGTGAAGGAGAAGCTTGGGCCAAGGACACGGGGGTTTGTACGTTATAGAATCCAGGGGCAGAAAAGGGTGCACTGGGGCCTCACGAGGGCCTGGAACAAGGAACTGGAAATATTTCAGTAGCCATCGAGCTGTCACCTGGCCACAGGGAGTCTCCTCTCTGCTGCTCTCTGCATATCTGCTAGATTCTTCTCTTGTTATAGATTGCCTTTTAAAAAATAATTAATAGATTTTAGCTAGTATTATTTTTTATTATTTATTTATATAGTTTAGTTTTATTATTTATGTAGTTTATTTTATTATTTATTTATATAGCTTAGTTTTTTTTTTTTTAATACTTTATGTATTCATTTG